GATGATTTGAGTTTGGTTTAGAAGGTGGGAGTGGTAATGTGGATAGCGAGAGGAGTGAGAGTGAGAGCGAGAATATTAAAGTAATGGAGTGATGGTGGTTGATGATATGTAAGTTATAGGGTGAGAGTTGATGGGGTATGATTGGTGTAAACCAGGTCACTGTAATCATGATGAGGTCCCGTGATTGTGAGGCTTGGAGCTCTCTGAGTTTCACCACCTACTAAGAAACCACTGGGAGTCAAGATGTAATAAGTTTGTGCCTTGAATGCTAGGGATGCGTTGTTGGGTGTCAAATTCTTGTTTGCTTTTAAGCTGACAGTTAGGTTGTCGACACCCAGTCTATTTTTCGTTCGTCGTTGGCTCATGAATTTTAGTCTGGCTGCGTAGCCTCACAGTGTTCATATCAGGACGTTCTCTCTTGTTTCGCTCTGTTCTGTTTTATGCCGTAGATACTGTTGTGTCGGTTTATGTGCGGGGCTGTGGATACAAGGTAGACAGCGAGTCCAAGTTTCTATGAATCGCTGACCACTCATAACTTTGCGCCCACTGCCTTGAAAAAAAAAAAAAAAAAAAAACCAAAAAAAAACAAAAACAAAACAAAAAAAAAAAAAAAAAAAAAAAACAAAAAAAAAAAAAAAAAAAAAAAAAAAAAAAAAAAAAAAAAAAAAAAAAAAAAAAAAAAAAAAAAAAAAAAAAAAAAAATAAAAAAAAAAAAACAAATAAAAAACCCCCCCCCCAACCACCCACCCCACCCACCCCCCACCCCCCCACCCCCCACCACCCCCCCCCCACCCCCCCCCCCCCCCCCCCCCCCCCCCCCACCCCCCCCCCCCCCCCCCCCCCCCCCCCCCCCACCCCCCCCCCCCCCCCCCCCCCCCCCCCCACCCCCCCCCCCCCCCCACCCCCCCCCCCCCCCCCCCCCCCCCCCCCCCCCCCCCCCCCCCCCCCCCCCCCCCCCCCCCCCCCCCCCCCCCCCCCCCCCCCCCCCCCCCCCCCCCCCCCCCCCCCCCCCCCCCCCCCCCCCCCCCCCCCCCCCCCCCCCCCCCCCCCCCCCCCCCCCCCCCCCCCCCCCCCCCCCCCCCCCCCCCCCCCCCCCCCCCCCCCCCCCCCCCCCCCCCCCCCCCCCCCCCCCCCCCCCCCCCCCCCCCCCCCCCCCCCCCCCCCCCCCCCCCCCCCCCCCCCCCCCCCCCCCCCCCCCCCCCCCCCCCCCCCCCCCCCCCCCCCCCCCCCCCCCCCCCCCCCCCCCCCCCCCCCCCCCCCCCCCCCCCCCCCCCCCCCCCCCCCCCCCCCCCCCCCCCCCCCCCCCCCCCCCCCCCCCCCCCCCCCCCCCCCCCCCCCCCCCCCCCCCCCCCCCCCCCCCCCCCCCCCCCCCCCCCCCCCCCCCCCCCCCCCCCCCCCCCCCCCCCCCCCCCCCCCCCCCCCCCACCCCCCCCCCCCCCCCCCCCCCCCCCCCCCCCCCCCCCCCCCCCCCCCCCCCCCCCCCACCCCCCCCCCCCCCCCCCCCCCCCCCCCCCCCCCCCCCCCCCCCCCCCCCCCCCCCCCCCCCCCCCCCCCCCCCCCCCCCCCCCCCCCCACCCCCCCCCCCCCCCCCCCCCCCCCCCCCCCCCCCCCCCCCCCACCCCCCCCCCCCCCCCCCCCCCCCACCCCCCCCCCCACCCCCCACCCCCCCCCCCCCCCCCCCCCCCCCCCCCCCCCCCCCCCCCCCCCCCCCCCCCCCACCCCCCCCCCCCCCCCCCCCCCCCCCACCCCCCCCCCCCCCCCCCCCCCCCCCCCCCCCCCCCCCCCCCCCACCCCCCCCCCCCCCCCCCCCACACTGCCTCCCCTGCTCAAAAGCCGCCTCCTCCTTAGACCGCCCTCCCCGCCCCCTCCACCACCTATACTGCACACGGCCAAGCATCAAACCGTCAGACGCGAAACCCCCTATATTAACAACGCAAGGTCGCAGCATTCGACTCTACATTGCATACGCCGATTATCCTGACACGAATACGAATATAAACATTGTCTAGAGAGAGTGCTTCGCGGATGTAGCATCACGGCTGTCAGTCATGTGTCTACGCTACGTGATTAGAAGGATCCGGCAGCTCGGGACACAACATGAACAAATATAATATTTTTGCTACCGTTATTAGTAGGGTCGTCTTAGTTATCCGCTGCGGTTTAGTGGTCTTTTCAATACTGATCGTGCAATATGCACATCCTGCTTGTTGGGTTGAGAAGACGAAATGCTGCAAACAGGACAGCCCATGTCTTGTCTGCTGAGTTCAGAATAACTCGAAGAATTCGAGGTTCGCAGTAGTGAACTGAGGTCGCGTGACGAAGTACTCGTCTCAGCATAGTGCGCTTAACCTGAATAAAGTAGTGTCGTAGATAGATTGTCACCGGTTACGATCGTCTAGTAACTTGAGCTTTGTTGTGCCAAATTTTGACTCAGGAACGTTAGGGCACACGAGAGTTCGGCATAGTAAATACCAGGTTAGAAATTGTTCAGTTTTATTTGGGCTGTTTATGAGACGCCAATTGATTTGATGATGAAAACGGTGTCTCACCGCGTTTGTTCGTAATGAAAATGGATCTACGTGTTTCACTTCATTTGCGACCGATACGTACGTTACCCGTTTTCTCTGCACCGCATTGCCTTCAGCTCTAGGCTGCTGTTGTCTTGACGTAATATTTAGGTTTAACTTCCCAATATAGGGTAGTACCAGTCAGGTCGAATGTGACTTTTCGATTAAGGTGTTAGGGTATGCCAGAGGAGGTTGCACGGGTACTGTGGGGGGCTTAGCAAGACTTCAATGCGTCAGGGCTCCGTTCTAGAGCCACGACTGCTTTGGTATTTAATAATGACCTGTCCCTGTCATTTCAAGTTTCGTCCTATTTGCTGACGACATCAAGATATGGCGCAGGATTCAGGCAGATGCCGATAGTCAAGGCAAAATTTGCTGCACTTCAACGTGAGCGAATGCAAGTTACTCACTATACGACAGGCTCGGAACACATGTACTGCAGCGATCTTCTGTCGAACGCAACCTTGGCGTGCTGCTGCAGGATTACTTTGGTTTCTCTTGGTAATCCGAAAAGTCTTCGAAAACTGGTACCCAGCAGATCGGTCGGTTGCGACTGGCGTTAGGAGAAATAGACACCTATTATCTGACAGATGCTCGGTGTGCATGTTCGTTCGCATCTCGAATACGCAATAAAAGCCTGTTATCCATGGATAATGCACGATGTCAATGCACCGGAGCAGTCTAAACGTTGGGCTTTCAGGTGCATCATTGGAATGTATATTCCACCATAAGAGCATGGACTGAAAAGTTTGTACTATTCAGCGTACGGTATCGATGATTACGAGACGACTGATAACTCTATACCTGATGTTACGCAATCCGAATAATGTGTGCAGTTCTTTACTACGACTCGCAGTAAGACAAAATTGAAAGATCATTTCATGGAACCTGAAGAACAGTACGGCCGCCTTGGGTTCCCCAAAATTTTTCTTTCTACTGTTGTGTGTCATCCTTGGTACGCTGCCCCCCCCCACCGCACTCGGTCGTTTCTGTAACTACACTAGCCGTATTTAAAAGTAGGTTGGTCGGTGCACTTAGCCACCTACATTTTGTTACTTAGCACTATCTCTAGTTTCTACTCCCGGGAGCTATCTTGGAGATGTAATTTTTCGCCTCTTTGGAAAACGAAACCACACGTTGTGCATACCTGCTGCATTAAAATTGACAAATCCATTCTTCTTTTGACATGAAGTACTAACTCCATCTTTTTATTAGCATTTTTCGGTAACTCACCAGACTACTCAACGGTTTTCGTAAAACAGTGCTCCTTAATCGGCATAAAGTAATTAGTCATTTTCATGTGAGTAGAAATTGTAGGTTTATCAAAACCTACCCAAAGCGCGAGCTAACTGAACTGGAAGCCTCACAACGAAGAACGCACTAAAAAGTAAAGCGGCTACACTATTTACCATACCAACTGTGACTGAAAGCCTTGGGAGTGTACCGCAAGTTATCATCGTATGCTGAGAGACCTCATCCTGACAAATCAAATTTAGAAGAACCCTGGTTACGTTTACCGCCACTTCTTGAAGGTTAGCTATAACATCAAATTTACGGGCCAATGGCTGAAGCTGGCCGCACAACGCAGTCGATTAAAATGTCGCAAGAATTTGTGTCTTTGAATGTGTCAACTGTGGAACATCACCCCCCCCCCCAACTTACATCAGAAATGTGTTTATGCTGCTCATTTTCAAAATCGACTCCACGATGCATTACACCATTTACATTGCATGACATGACTACCGTTCACTGATAGATGACAAAACGCGAACAGACTGGGCTCACCAGCTCCAACGAAACCGGTCTAGGCAGAAACACATGGGTGTTAGACTGAAATTATGACTTCATGTAGGGACAATTTGTATAAAAGGCACATTTGTTTCCCTGTGGACGCAAGTTGTTCACACGGACCATCCTACCGGACTTGTCAAGCTTGCACTTTTCTACCTGTATAATATATCTGTTACATTTTTATCACTTAGCATAACAAGCAAACTCATTTGCCCCAGTACAGTCGTCTAGAGTGTCGGAGAACCCATTTCTCCCTCCGGGTCTACGGGCCCTGGAACGCTCTTCCAAACTCAGTTGTTTATGCCCCCACATTAGATACGTTTAAAAAACGATTGGACGTCGCACTGAGCCCCCTGCGCTTTGTTTTATGAACGAAAACGCTTGTAAATATTTAGGCTGACCAGCCTGTTTGGATTTATACCCCAAATTCACGGTCGTAAATCTGTGCGAACCGGTGAGTACTCCATTTTTATTTGCTACCATCACCAACGATAACAATTTCTCAGCCAGTTTTGCGTCGTACCACTTTATCCCCCTAAAACTGTTATACTTCTACCTTTTATCTCTCTGACGCTCCTTACTTCAACCACTTACGTGGTTTGCCAATCTGTTAGTATTTCTATTGCCAACCTGCGGGACTCGTCAAGTGTATGCTTTTTTACCCGTCATATACCATTGTTCCATTGTTCCATTGATCCCGCGTGCTTTAACTATGTGTTCCGAACATGAAGTGGAAGACGCGCTGATGTCAGGGCTGGTGCTTAGCTGACTTTGCTCGAGAGCATTAATCACACTCCCAGTTCCGTCACAAACACAGTTAACGAATCATATGAAAACCATAGCTATCTCTTACGTGTTTAGTGGCCGCGCCAAGCTTATGGTGGTTCTGTCGGAGTTATCGATCGGTTTCCCTCCTATTTTGGACTGATTGTCATAGAAATCTAACTTGTAACCTTTTTCTTAAATTGTGAGAGCAGAAATCACAACCAATCCAGTCAATACAGAACTCTGGCAAGAATGTGCATGAAAATCAGGAGCACATGTTTAAATTTTCAAACGTAAGAGAGGTATTTCCCCACAAGTGCTGGTGACATACGCGAGTGTTAACGATGCCCCAAAAGATTTCGATTTAAAGTTGAAAAATTAGTCCTACACATGATCTGATGTAAGGCGTCTGCTCAGAGATTCTCTAGTAATATTTGTCAGTTTTTCAACTAAGTGGATGCTTATCTCCCAGCACACATCCACCGATTTCGCGACTAGCATACCATGTTAAATAGAAGTACCACACACTAGAAAATTTAAGAACAATTTCGAACCGACTAAGAATTTATACGTTAGGGAGGCTTGGTACACAAATCGGTTTAGTGTGGGTTGGAATTTCGATTACGTTTCGCTGTTGACGCAAGAGCGAAACGTAGTCATATTGCAAAGTTTATCGAATTGATTTACGTCCGGAACTTTTAAAGATGATAAACTATTTGTTTTCTTTCTGATGAGCGTTGAAGCATCCGCTTCGACAGTAATGCCGTTTACATGCGGTAAAGGAATAGCTAAATACCTAATGAACCAAATATATTGCAGATACCAATGATGAGAATTCTTTGCAACCTCAGTTTCAACTACGCAATAACCTTCCCGTTTACTAAGAAAAATCCCACTAACTAACCGAACTAACCTCAGTTTGCGGTTTTTAAAGCAATAAGTCTGTAGATATTACTTGGTTACCGACATGTCGCATGGTCAAATTGTATGGTGCTTCGTAGTTGCATATTCATTTGAATCGAACTCAAATAATGGAACTTATTTCAGCTTCAATTTATTCTCCAATTAACCTACAAGGATTAAGCCCTGCGATATTCATCAACACCATGCAGTGTTACTTTCGTCTGCGTTGTGGTCAACTTATCTTCGAACTGATATTTCAGCCCCGCTGACATGACATTTGCTGGCCAAGCCCGCCAGCAACAGAGATAGATAGTATCTGTCAGTCGCTTTTGCGATGGCAGCCTGATGAAGACACAAAATCGCAATCACACAGGCGGTGTTGATAGAGTATGGAAGCATCCGCATATAATAATAATAGCAATAATAATGTTACTAATAATAAGGTATATTTCCCGTGGTACCGAGAAATCGAGCCCACAAAGGGACAGATCATATTTACATCCCAACATGTTCAGGCATGCCAGGATGTCAATGGTTTGGGTTTTACGGTGTTATACTAGAGTTATTTCGCGAACATATTCATTTGAGACATTTGTCGATGTATGCTACCAGTTCGTTGGCATTCTCATTCCTTTGTTTCCGGTGCAGTTTGGTGGTGCCATAAATGCGACGGTTTGATAGAGCAGGAGAGGGAGTATGGAAAAAATGAATCAGAGCCACCAATCAAAATCAAATGAGTAAGACACAATCTTACTTAATAGACTGGGGTTTTACAGTTAGGGTTATTTATGAGTGGCAAGTTAGGGAGTTGCAAAAATGAGGAAGACTATGTTAAGGTAACTCTAGTGGATCATCAAACTGAAGTTGCTTT